TCATACAAATGTGTGCCCCAGTTCTTTGGACAGTGAGTACTCAGGATGGCGTAGAGGTTGCCAGAGCAGGATTGGAGAGAGCAAAGTTCAAATCCAGTCATGGAAGCTGAGCCCAACCTACACTCAGGGTGGTGGTTGTGGGGAAAAATAGGTCTTACACTATGCTTAAATGTAACTGTGAGCAAGCATAGGACTTTAGCCAAGTAGGTTTTATGCAACCTATACTCACGGAAAATCCACTGACAGAAATTTTAGTCAGGAATTAGGGGTGTGCAAGGAATGAAAGTTTGACCTTGGAACAAAACTGCCCACCTACGCATCATTTACTTCCATATTTCACCAGAACAAAACTTAAAAAAAAAAAAAAAATCACATGTTCTATCATAGGGGATAATAGTAACTTGAATAAGTCCTTGCTGTCTTATTTTGAGACATAACGACCTGTAAAGTAGAGGTGTTGGTAGTCTGATTCTCAAAGCTACATACCTCCCAATTTAACAGAAAAAAATAGCCAATGTGAATATTTTGTTTTGTTTTTAAGAACTAAACATTTTTAAAGTGACCAGGGTAAAGGAAATGACAGTGGCCAAAGAGAACAGATTCTTGTTGGATCCATTCAGCTTATGAATGAAAGGTAACCAATACTAAAATTAGAACATTAGCATAAATAATACTTTCAAACCTCAACCATCATACATTGTTAAATTGAGCAACAAAGGCTACAGAAGATTCTCCAGCTCCTTGGCTTTTTCTGATGACTCTATTCTCCCCTTTTTAAGCTCCTTATGCAGAAAACTGGGGGAGGGCCGCTCATTTGTTCATCTATAAATCCTGGATAACTGAGTAATATCCATGGATGTGTTAAATGGTCTTTTATAAAAGCAAAATGTATACACGGATCTTACCGGTGATGTTAGATGAATGGCTTGCTTTTCTAACAAAGCCAGCTTCAGTTTCTCCACTCCCCACTATCCCTAATTGACCTGAAATTCATTCCTAGGAAGTTAGCAAGCATCACATCACATACTTTCCCACATGATTTACTTTCTCTGGGAATAATTGCTGGTTACCATGCAGGTTTCCTTAGTGACCCAGATGAAGACTGTTGAAGATGTTGCTATCCCTAGTAGTGGAGCACCAAGTGTGTGGCCTGAGTTTCCAAGTGCCTTCACTGGCAACACATCCCTGGCATATACATGTGTATGTATGTGAGAGAGAAGTTTTATGTGCATACATAATAAAATGTGATAAAAGTTATATAATCTGAAATAATACTAATTAATATGGCAACATATGCTTGACCATCTTGTTTAGACTGAATCCACTGAAATAGATGGAACAAGAAGAGCATAAATAAGTCCCACTTATTTTTGCCTTTCTGTTCTCAGTATGACTAGATCATGATCTGATTTATTTAGTAATAGTAAACTTCATTATGGTCTTTGACCAACATATGCACATACATGCATAAAATTCTACATACTGTAGTTGATAAAAACAAAAGAAATTAAAAGAGTTAAAAATAAAAAGGAGGGGGAACGGTAACATTTTGAAGGTATCAAAGAAATGCAATTAAATTATTGATTAAAGGCACACAGTC